CTTGAAATTTAAATCCTTGGCACCTTGTATTTGTGAAACTGCAAACTTTTCCAAATTTCCGTAATGCTAACAATAAATTCCATGTCATTTAATGAAAAATATAATTATTTTTGTTAATTCTTTCAATTTTATTTTTATCTCATCCTAAATGTATGCAATATTTATAATATTTCAGTATATGAATGGAATTTGTTCACTTGTTCAAGAGAAAAATGCTACTTAACAAATCATTGGTTAGACACAACTTTATATTTTATAAGCTCCAAAGAAATGATAAAAATTTTAGCCAAAATTTTTGACATAAAACAAAATATTTTTTAACCTTGGAAAAATTTTCTACATACTTTTTAAAACAAAGTAATATTTAATTGAAAAAATATGGAAATTCCGTAGAGAGCAATTTTTTCTCAAAATTTTTAATAAATTCTCACATACGAGTATATGGAAGATAATTTAATTATGTATAATTTTAAATATCACAATATGTTAAAATGTTTTGAAGTACACAATAAATTTTTAAATTTTAAAAACGTATTCTATTAAACTTTTAAAGAAATCATAATAATGGTATCCTTTACTCGAGCCTCTTAATTTTTAAAACTTTAAAGAAATATAATCACATTTTCCGACTAAATAGATTAGTGTAGCATTTTCAAGCCCCACTTTCCAATCTTCAGTTATAAATGGCACCCTACAAAGTTTTGAAAAGAAATTTACTTGAAGTATGAAAAATCTTATACATATAAAGCCAAGATCTTATTAATCCCTAAAATCTCTTCGTTACCTTATCACTTTTCACTAAATTTTCTATTAACTTAAAGTAGCTCAAATAAACCCACAACACAATATGCAATCATTTATATATCAATTCAATTTCTCTCATGACATTCTAAATTGCCTCTTTAAAACAAAATTAAAACGCAAATCACAACATGACAGTAAACAAGCACATACAATATTCGTTTGTTTCTCTCCTTATTCCTAACAAAAATAAATTGTATAAAAATATAAAAAGTTATTTTGAGAATATAACAAATACGAGTATAACAATAAAAAAAAAATTTTTTTTTTGCAAAACGATTCTTGTCAAAAGAAAAATGTGTTTCTTTCAATATTTTAAATAAAATTATTTGATTTCAATTTATCTATTCTGGTAACATTGTAAACATTTTTATATTCAAAAATTAAAAGAATATTTGAATGGAATTCCAATCACTCCACAATTTAACCCACGTTTATATTATAGATATGTGCATAAATTAAAATAAAAATAGAGTGCATGAATTCAATAAGTATAATATTGAAAATGAGATGTTAATCTAAGGGGAAAATGTAGTACAAGCTGCAACCCCGGATATATTCAAGGGCGCTGCTGAATTCCATTAAATTTAATAAAGAAATATATAGATATAATTCAAAAATTTAACCCTTTCGATTTGGCTTTCGAATAGTGTGGAATCAATTACGTTTATATAAAACAAACTGTCTGTGATGAAAAAATTCGCGTTAAAATTTAGTGCGCCAAATCAGGGATGATTCAAGGATGTTTGGACTTTACTGCTACATATGTGTACTAGCCGAGCTGAAAGGGTTAATCAGAAACCATGAAAAAGGATTTCCTTTTATGCAATAAAGCTTCTATTCAAAATTATTATCGTAAAACTATCATAATTAATTTTTAATTTTTTTTAACTCGGTTTACCAGGTCACTTCTTCTAAAAGTCTTGAAATTTCTCCTCCATTTAATTAATATCAGTCTACGAATTCTCTATACCCGTAAGTAAAATTAATAATCAGTTAATATTTCCTTGAAAGAACAAGAAAACACTTGTTTATTAAAAATATTATATATATTCCAAAATCTTCACCTCGCTGAAAAGTTTCATAAACAGTCAATCAGAATTCCTCTTTCTCCTCTAAATTTCTCAAAAACTACTTCTGAATTTCTGAATAATTGATTGTTTGGTTCAAATGGTTTATCTACTTAGACTGGCTAGAGGGAGACTCTATTGGTATCATACCGTCCTGATGCCACTATGTCACTAAATTAGAGGCTTTCTTTAGGTTTTCTTATCATAAGTTTATTTTTTAAAGTTGCCATATTTTTGTGAAAAATTGCTATATTCTTATGAACCAACTAATTTTTTCCATAGTAACGGGTAATTACTTTTAAAGTGATTCTGCTTCACATGGTCTGGAGTAATACCAAAGCACCATCGAAGCAATTTTGAAGTAAATTCACGGTCTATACTCCACTTATGCCTTTTCTTTTCGATATTGTATAAAATTTCATGATAATCTTGTAAAAAGACATTATTTTTGTTTTGTTTAAAATATTTATGTCTTTACATTTTTGTATAAAAAATATTTTATTATTTAGATTTCATTTTAGAATTTATAACATTCATCTTAAAATATAATTCAAAATATCTATTTGAAAATAATTTATTTTCAAATATACGAGTACGACTTATATGCATATCCGCTAACATGAACTTAAAAAAAAAAAGAAAATTTATTCGTACTTGATAGGGATTTATAACGAATTTTACGCAATTTATTTCTTTAGATTTTTCTTAAATTTTCTTCTTTTTTTTGTTTCTGTTTTATTAAGATTAGATTTGTACATAAAAGAATAAAATGTAAGTGTATTTCATCGCGTTGAATCTAAAATATTTCTGTTTTCGTATATTTTCTCAAATATATAATGTATAACGTAAGTATAACGATTATGTACTTATAAAATATGCGTATGCGTTTGGTCTCATATTAAAATTCAGAATAATAATAAGATAAAACGTTCTATGAGTCAAATTAGAAAATTAAGGAAAATTTTAAAACTATTGTAATTAATAACGCTTGAAAAAATCTGGAATAAAATCGTAGCAAACCAAATAATTCGATATTAAAAGTTTTATGATATGGAAGTGTTTCTGCAATTCCCTGTACGTGGTGAAATGGAAAACGAAACGAAGTTGATTTCATATTAACAAGTGTAATGAGTTGTATCCCAAAAAATGTGCACAAGCCAAGCAACAAAAGAAAAACGCTTCTCTGAGAATAATCTATTAATTAAAATTCATACTGTAGTGGAAGTCTTTTAAACAATAATTTTGATCCATAAAATGCATTCATTGATATCAACATGTTATGTTTATTATCAATTTATTATCAATTTTCCAAAAATTCAATTAATACACTTAAAACATTTTAGTTTTAAGAAAAACTTGTATTAGAATAGAAATAATATAGATAAAAAAATTTTTTTTACCATCATTTTTCTTTGTCATATTATATATAAAACAATATTCTACAAGAGCATATTGACAACAAGATTATAAGAAAGAAAACAAAAACGAACAATAATAAAAAGAAATTGTAATAGAAAGAAGGAAATAGCTTTCATTCTCATACCTACTTTTCTTATACTCAAATTCCTGCCTCTTATATAACCTCTTAAACATTCGACTTCCTTGATATCGTAAAGGAAAAGCAAAAACAAAAATAAATATACATAAATAAAACCATCATTCTCTACTCTTAATAAATTCCCCACACTTTACATTATCATTTCATTCTGCCTTTCTTCTCACTCTCTCTCTCTCTCTCTCTCTCTCTCTCTCTCACTTTCACTCCTTTATATTTTGGAGTCATTTTCGATTTGAATAGCAATTTATAAAATAAAAGAACCGATAAAAGAAAGCAAAATTTATGTTGAGTGTTGAAATTGAAATACAATTTCAATATTGTGAATGAAAAACAATCGCATTTGCAGATAATCTTAGATATGAGAGAGAATTATATACATTGATAAATGTACTCTATATACACATAACTGTATATATATATAATTTATTTAATATAATATATACATTGAAAGTATTAACGATATTGGTTACTAAAATTCATAGTTAATATGAAAATTAGATCAGGGTAGTAATAGATATACCTAGATACATCATATAAGGATATTTTGAAATTGGATTTAATATTAAAGTATCAATTTAATAAAATATACTTTTATATACAATTAAATGAATAAAAATTTTAAGGAATTTAATATAATAATAAAGATAGCTATACAAAGATTAGATTTAAAGAAACGAGAAATAATTCTGAACGTGCTAAGATTATTAAAGCTTGATGAATATTAAAAATAAGCGGATGTTATATCTTTGTTCTTCCTGATTTAATTTTAAAGAAATATAGTCAATATAAGAGCCACCATACACTGTTTTTATCGAAAATATACTGCATATAGCTCAAGAAATTCGAAATTATTTTCGAGGACAGTTCTTTCAGACACATGGTCCAGTACAAATTCTTAAATAATTTGAAATTGTGGAATCACATTTAGTAATGACTTAAAATCACTAAATTTTAGAATGTAAAAACACTTCCTTTTCCATTTCCTTTTATCTTCGATATAGGAAACGAGAATTGTATAGACAACTTAATCTCAGAATTTTTCTGAAACAAAATTTTCATATATTCCTCTACTCTAATCACTTATTTTATTGTTACTTAAACCTAATGTACTCTTAACGGCACTAGATTTTTTTAAAATTATTATTTTAAAATTCCTCCTAAATGTATGCACAAATTTAATGATAGTAAGATAACTACTTTAACACAACAAAAACTATTATGTTCGTTTAATTTAGAACTCTAATTCTTTCTAAATGAATTTTAAATATAATTTTTTTTGTAGTGTATATTTTAAGAACCAGGAATCTAATCAACTGCATCTTTAATCTCGAATTTTTTAATTTTCATTATTTTAAAGTATAATATGGTATAATAATAAGAAGCAAAATTCTTAAACTAAATAAATTTAATTTAATATTAATTTTTAAATATTATTCTTTATAAAACTGTTAATCAAACCAACATAATAATTTTAATTACCCTAAAAGTAGGCAATATTACTTATTATCTCTGTTTTTCATCTTCTTCTTCTTCTTCTTTCTCTTGGTGTAGGCTTGACAGCCTGTTTGTAACTAATTAGCCTCCTGTGAGGTAGAAGTCCAGCTATCCATCCACCTTTTGGGCGGTCGTCCTGGAGGTCTGTTGGTGCCCGGTATTCCTTCTTTGGATATTTTTACGATCCTGCTGGTATCCATTCTAGATATATGATCGTTCCAAGCACGTCTTCTTTCCCTCACCCATCTAACCACATCTTGGATTTCTAAAGATTTCCTTATATCAGAACTGCGGACACGATCTCGCAATGTAGAGCCATTAATATTACGTAGAATCGCCATTTCTGCAGTGCGTTTGTTAGTTTTGGTTCTATATGTTTCTGATGTTGTTTCTGCTGCATAAGTCATAATTGGTCTTACACATGTTTTGTAAATTTTGACTTTTGATGTGGGGTTCATGTACTTATTTTTCCATATAATATCTTTCAAACATCCGGACACTCTTGCCGCCTTGTTTACTTGTGCGCGGTTGTCTGCTTCACGGTTTTGGTTTGAAGATATTTCCACTCCAAGATATCTGAAGGACATAACTTGTTCTATTATAATGTCGTTGATGGCTAATTTACATCTGATGGGATCTTTCGATACTACGAGTGATTTTGTTTTTTCCGTTGAGATCACCATGTTGTACTTTTTAGCAGATAAATAAAACCGATGTAATAATCTTTGTAGCTCATCTTCGTTTTCGGATATCAATACAGCGTCATCAGCGTAACATAATATTTTGATTTCACCTTTGTTTGTTCTGAAACTTTGTTTTTCATATTCAAGCTAAATCTGTGTTATATTGTTTTTTCTGTTAATGTTATATAAATTTTGAAAATAAGATACCAATAATATTAGCAATTAATCTTTGTTATATTTATAACTTGTGTGCCAATAACACAAAAAAAATATAACGTAGATCATATTCTATTCTTAGAAAATCGGATATTAATGATAAGAAAAAAAAACGGAAGAATTCTATAATAAATTGAAAGATTTATAGGATAACTGGGCGGCTATCCTTTTTTTTTCTTGTATATTCTATACATTATGTAACATTATCTTTTATGTAAAAATTTTTCATTCATATTGTATTGAATATCTTTTTATACTTTTCATTATATTTTTTTCTTTCATATTTTTCTGTAATATTGTTATATATACATCTCATTCATACATATACATTTCTATGCTGTTAGATTAGCTGTTTTGAGTATATGTGTTGAATTTCATATTTCTATAAGAATACATACAATTATACATATCATATTTTGTATACTGTATATAAATTTTGTATATCAACATATTATATAAATTCTTCGAAAACATAACCTAGAGTAACTGAAAAAAATTAAAAAGTTATTCTCATTATAAATTTTTCTTTTAAACTTAAAAAAATATTTCAAAACAGTACATTTCAATGTTGAGTATTTAAAACTTTTCTAAATTTTTGATACCGTACAAAAATCCGACATAATAGGCAACAATATTCGGATAGCTTTTAAATTTTGAGAAACAATTCCAAATTCTAATGTTGTGTAAACCATCAAAATAGAAAAATAATTTAAAGATAATTGGATTTATTTTGAGAAGTCTATCGCTCATATTAGTGATGTATATCGTAAAAAATTACATACATACTATTAAGTAAATGGTTCGTGTCTATAATAAATGGTTAAAAAGATTTTATTATCTTCGAAATCAGCCTTTATATTTGATTAAAACTTAATTATACTGAGACAAACGGTCAAAAAGGCATATCGTAATTTGTAATCATTTACGATATGTCTCTTAATTTGAGCAAGAATACCATTATCATCTTTAAAATAATCTGGTCACTATTGTAAAAAAATTTTTCATTATCGAACATAAAAATTTCAATATTCCTTCAAAAAATGAATTTGGAGGATTAATTTTTTTGTTCATTTACGGTCTATATGACAACCGACTTGGATAGCAGTTGAATTTTTAACGATTTCATGTTAAAATTTCAACTGTTATCCAAGAACCGATATTTAAGTAAAGAGAAACCGATGACTACCGGGGCTAATAAAACCAAATGGAATCAGTTTATAAATTTATAAAATTTTATAGAGGTAAAAATTTTTGAACAAAAAATATAACTTTAACTTTTACACAACATTTTTATTATACATATATAACAGTAATTCGAGTACAAATCAATAATATTATTACTTAAACAGATTTTATATGGATCAGTTACATTACTAATATAATTCACCTCAATACACACATAAAATTCAGTATATCATGAATAATAGAGTATATTTATAATCTATATATACCTACATTATTATATAATCTTTATTCTTATCTTCTCTGCTTCTACTTAAAAAAATTCCTTAGACTCTTCTATTATCCTTATAAAATTTAAGTTATTCAAGTACCAGAAATTTCTTCATTTTACCATTAGGAAAAAACTAAAATGTGTAAAAATTTTTTGAAATAGGAAAAATAGAGAAAAATTTAAGAGTAAGGAAAGTTCTTTTTTTTTTTGATAAATTTGGGTTAACCAACAACAAACTAAGAATCTAGAATAATCTATTTTTTCTATCATTTTTCTGTTTCTGTATAGCTTAATAATTTAACAAAGAAAACTCTAATATATCGATGAATCAAATTAATTTTCTATAAATTATTACTATTCTTGATTTTCTTTTAAACGCCTATTTTTGAAATTTATCGAAAAAAATACTTATAATGACAAAAATTGGGAATGATTCGTTCGATTTTCGAATGATAGTAGGATGAGAACAGCACAAAACTTACAATTGTAAAAGTTGGCATGCCTGAGTATAAATTAATCACTTCTTAAAATGTGACTTAAAGGTTATTTAGTTATTTTTGTAAACAGGGAGTTAAGATTTTGTTTTAGAAAAATATTTTGAAATTGTTGAAGCTATGTAATTTGGGTGTTCTTTAAGATTCTGTGAAAGAAAATATAAAGTTAAGCAATTATAAATTCCACACTCAAATAAATATTCTTACCATCTAATATTTCATAATAAGTCACAATACCGAGAATTCTAAGTCCTTAAATAACATTTCCTTAACTGAACTACAGTAAAAATCCAATAAAATTTCTATATGCTATTGTTTCTTTTGTGAAATACTTGGGAGAAATTAGTAAGTTAAATTTCAGAGAGAATAGAACAAAATTATTTTTCAAAAATAGCTACTCTCTATTGTAAACTTTATATATACGAGTATTATAAAAATTGTGAATTATAAATTTAATTTTGTATTTCAAAAAAATTCAAAACAAAAAAAAACTCAAAAAATTATTAAAATTACATTTAAATAAACCAAAACATAAAATATGACAAAATATAAAAAAAAAAAACACATAATGCATTTTTTTCCCACCAGCATTTCCCCCTTGCCTCTTCTTCCTCCCACCCTTTCCACACTCCGTCACATAAATTGCAAATCTAAAATTATTTTCTTCTTCCTTATCACATTTTTGCTTTTTTTCTATATTTTTGAAACAATTGTTAGAAAAATTTCCATTTTCAATAATTGAAATTCTAAAGAGAATTATCTAAAAGTAGAGTAGAGTGGCAGGAAAAAAAAAACATAATCTTTTTAGAGGAAAAGCATAGTAAGCACTCAAAATAAAGGACATTTAAAACACTTGTTATTATTATTACACAAGGAAGTAAATAACCGTTATTTGAAATTTTTTTTTTTAAGTTTTATTTTTTCCAAGTCTTTAAATTCTACTCGTATTTTCTATTTTCATAAGATTCTTGGTTCTTATATTCTTCTTATACCCTCCCGTTCATCCTGTTTATTTTAATAATATAAAACTTATATAGTGCTCGGAACCGGAGAGGGGGGGGGGGGAATATTGGAATTTTATTCCAAAAAAAGAATATTTTTCATTATGAAAACGTATACACAGAGCACTTAAACACAAAACAAAAAAAAATCTTATTTTCCTTTGTTTTTATTTTAAAAATATTAATAAAAAACTTTTCTTTATTCTCATCACCGCTTGGTGGAGCTACTATATAGTTGTTTTAGTTTTCTCTCAGCAACTTAGTTTTTTAGTTTTAAAATATTTACTAGACCAATACACACAGACACACATACACACATAATCAAGAAGTAATTTTAATATTAAAAAATAGTAGGGAAAACGAGTGTAGTCTCTACAATAAAAGAAAATTGAAGAGAATAGAGAAAAGATAAGAATTTTATTAAAGGATATTTTCTAAGATTCTTACATATTTTAAAGTTTGTTTTTTTCTTCTTTCGTTCTACTACATTTTTATGATAAAAAAAAATGAATTTAAATAAAATAGTAAAAAAAAAAAAAATAAGAATATTACTTGTGTGTCCTTAACCTTCACCAACAATGTATATGCATGGTTTAAGGATTTAAGGACTATTTTTTTTTCGTTTTATCTTCCTTTCGAAGAATTTTATTTGAGGGAAGAAAGAAAAAAATACAAAACTTTTCTGTTCCTTTGTCATTTTTTACATGTCCCTTGAGGAAAACTATATGCCTTTTTAGTGTCACATTTAAAGTTGAATTGGAAAAGTTTATTCTATTCTTTTTTTTTCACTCTATCTCTATGTTTGTTTTATAATTTCAAAAAAAATTTTATAATTTTAAAATGGGTAAAGAAAAAAGTAAAAAAAAAAAAAAAACATTTTCCTTTTACACAATTTTACTTTTAATATTTTTTAAGAATTGAAAGTTTTTCCTTTCAACTTGTGCTTTAAAAAAAAAAAATTTGAGTTTAAAATTTTATACTTGATATTTTTAAGATTTTCCTCTTGTGAAATTAAACTTAGTAGAAAAATATAGAAGAGAAAAATTGCTGTTGAAACTTTAAAATTTTCCAATATTCTAGACTCGGTACCTTGTACGTCTAAGTATTTTATGAGAAAATTCTTTATTCTTAAAAATACCTACTAAAATAATCTAGGAAAATTTGTTCTTACTTTAAAAGAAAAAAATACAATTTTTTTTAATATTTAATATTTTGTCAACAAAACAAGTTTTCCCTTTAATATTTTAGTTTTTAAATTTAAAGGAATTGATGCAGAAATTATGATATAAATTTTGTATATGAGATTTATCTATATAATAAGGAATTTATAAATCATAAGTGCCTGTTACACAAACGATTTATGGTGAATTATCTATTTTGTCAAATAAAATATTAAAAAATTTTAAAGTGAATCCATTAAAAATCTTTTTTTAAACTTATTAAAATTGAAATAACTTGAATTTATTAAAGAGAGCACAAATTCTTCTTCCAAATACTTTAAATAAATGAAAATTTTCTCATACAAGTACACATGAGAAAATTTTAATATTGAAAATATTCTAAAATAAAAGATGAGGAAGAAAATTTAATGAAAAAAATTTATTCAAATTTTCATATTCTTGAGAGAATTAAAAATATTATGTGTATACAAAGTGAAATTTTTCTATTAAGCTTAAAAATTTAGTATTATATAAGATGCACGTTGGGAAAAGAGAGAGAGAAAATTTATAAGAATAACTAGCAGAAAATTTCATCAAATAACGTAAACAATGGAGCGAGCCATGGCAGAATCTTATGTCACTGGTTCGATATGGAATCGAACCAGTGACATAAAGCGCTCTACTAACTGAGAATACCTACAGAGGTATAAAGAATTTTACGGAAAATTGTTCATTACATTGCGTTGTACTGTAATCTATATGATTTTACCTAGTATTTTTTATATAAGATGCTACAT